CATCAGTTTTGGAAATCTAAATTCAGTCGGCCCCCTCCTAATTAAGTAAATAAAGGAGGGGGCTGACTGAATTTACTTTAATGAGTATATAACATCCCCAGTTATGTGTAGTTACTGATAAGTATTTTTCTTAAGTAAGTTAACCAAGCCCTTTCCAGCCTTATTTACTTTATTAGTTAGTATTCATAGTACACAGATAAATTTGAGTTTAGTCCTTGTTAAAATGACTGCATTTCAAGGGGCTTTATATTTCTATGCTTTTCTTTCTTTCTTTCTTTTTAAATTTATTGAATGAAGTACAGTGTTTCAGGAGTACAGCAAAGTGATGCGGTTTTATATATATATGATTATAAGAATATATATATTCCTTTCCATTATAGGTTATTCATGATATTGAATATGATTCCCTGTGCTGTGCAGTAGGTCCTTGTTGTTTATCTATTTTATATATAGTAGTGTGTATCTGTTAATCCCAAATTCCTAATTTATCCCTCCCCCCACTTCTATGCTTTTCTATAAGGCTAGAATCTTACTAGCATTCTCACAGAAATTAATGGTTAGGTAAGTTTGTTAGTAGTAATAAAATTTTTTTTACATAAAAAATTTTCTGTTGCATTGCTCATAAAAACTTGGCATTATTTCAATTTATATTTTTTACTAAAATGTATTTATAATTTTTTAGGTAGGAATTCCAGATTTGTGGTAGCTGCCACTGCTTTGGGTTCCCTACTGCTGCCTCATTTTCTTCTGACTGTTATTTCCCATTTTCTTATGTTTCTACTCTATAAGACAGAGTTAAAAAGTAAAGATGATTCATTTTCAGGAATTGTACTGCTTTAGGCTTAATTTGAGCCTCTGTTCTGGTTTTTTTTTTTTTTGCGGTACGCGGGCCTCTCACTGTTGTGGCCTCTCCCGTTGCGGAGCACAGGCTCTGGACGCGCAGGCTCAGCGGCCATGGCTCACGGGCCCAGCCGCTCCGCGGCATGTGGGATCTTCCCGGACTGGGGCACGAACCCGTGTCCCCTGCATCGGCAGGCGGACTCTCAACCACTGCGCCACCAGGGGAGCCCTGTTTTGGTTTTTTGTGTGTGTGTGTGTGTGAGTGGATACAATATGCTAAAACATTTTGTTAATTGAATAAGAGCTACATTTTTAAGTGGGGTTACTTATGTTAGAATAATAGATGACAGCTAATATTCGTGATGTTAAAAATGTTAATCCTAACAGTTTTCTTTTGGAGTCTTTATAGTAGAAGAACGCTTTGAGGTTGAGGGTGAATTTATGTATTCTTAAAGTGACAAAAATTGTTCCTGGCCCATAGTAAAAGCTATTTAAGTCTTAGATACTTTTATTATTATACTTTTTTTTTAAAAGAAATTCAGCATTTAAAAAAACTACATACAAAGCTGATTGTAAGTCATATAGGGAAAGGCAATATTTTGTCAAGACAGTAAATAGATTTGGAGATAATTATAAAACAAACATAATTTTTAAAACCCGTTATAGAGGGCTTCCCTGGTGGCGCAGTGGTTGAGAGTCCACCTGCCGATGCAGGGGACGCGGGTTCATGCCCCGGTCCGGGAAGATCCCACATGCCGCGGAGCGGCTGGGCCCGTGAGCCATGGCCGCTGAGACTGTGCGCCTGGAGCCTGTGCTCCGCCATGGGAGAAGCCACAACAGTGAGAGGCCCGCATACCGCAAAAAGCAAAAAACAAAAAAACAAAAAACCCGTTATAGAAATAGTACAGGTGCATCATACCAAAAATACAGAACAAGCAAAAATGAGAAAAAAAATATATTCCTACCATCTAGAGACTATTACTTTTAGTACTTTAGTTTGTAATCTTTTTGTCTACATAATTTAATTAAGTATACAGGTATACTGTATATGTTTTCTTTTATCAAAATGGTGTCACACTGTACCTTTGCTCTTGAAACCTTTTTTTCAGTCAATAATGTCTACTCTTCCATTTCTGTAAATTTTCATCTCAGCCAATCCTCAGATCATATTAAAATTTCTTAAAATGTCCTTAATGGCTGGTTTGTCTAAAACAGTAACCAGAACAGGATTGTACCAGTGAACTTGACTGTTAGAACACTTATGTCTTTCTAAATCAAGGATAACTACTCATCCCTCCCCTCCTCACCTTTTAAAATGATATTTGACTTTTTAAAAAGATAATTTGAAAGAGACTGCATCATGTCTGGCAGACCTTTTGAATTTGTCCAGTTTATGCTCATAATGTCATTTAGCTTGTTCTATCTCATATAGTGTCTGTAAGTTAAAATTTATATCTCTAAGTGCTTGGTGGATTCGCAGCTTGAAGATGATTTGGCTATCATAGATGATGCTGTGTTCTTCATATTGCAGCACATCAAAAGTTATGTGATCTCTACTTAACTTTCTTGGTAATGCTGAGATTGACCACTGAAATTGGGTGATGACAGTCTTTTCTGCCCATTATTCAATTATATTTGTCTTCTTACATTAGAAGATATTTTGTGCAGTGTTACTTCGGCTCTGTACGAAAGTTCAGGTCCTCATTATCTAATACCTGTTGGTTTAGCACCATTTGTTGATCCTTGCCTAAATCAATAATTTTATTAGGGCTTGCAAAGTTTGATTTTCCTAATTCTGTCTTTTTATGTTTATTAACTGGTATTTTCTGTTGCGTTTGCTTTATGAAATGGAGTTATTTGCCTTCCCTGAAATAGAGTTCCTACAGGAAAAGTAGGATAAATCCTTAATCTCCCCCTTCACCAATTTCAAAGTAAAGAACTATTCCAATAGCCACTTTTATCAGAAGTTATAAATGAAAATAATTTTTTATTTAGTTGCTCGAACTTTTTCTGTTTTGAGTATCTTTATAGACTCACGGATTTTCATTTTATTCAGGATTCTTTAATTTACTACCATTTAAAATTTTTCTTTGATACTCAGTTTGTCACACATTGAGCCATTGTGATATCCTTCATGCTAGCTCCTATGTCTGTTTGATACAGACCACTAATCTCTGTATGCCTTCCTGCTTTTTGGCACAGAAAGATATCCCAGGCTCACCTTGTACCTTCCCTGCTCCAGATCTGACATCAACCAGTTTTCCAAGGAGTTGGTACCCTTTAGTGTATTATGATATTAGGGATGAAATCGGGTTCTAGAAGTGTTTACTACTGCTAAGGTGACATACTTTTAAGCCATTTCTTTGAAAAGACCTAAACAATATAGAGTTCTACAAACATGAGTTCACATTAATATATTCAGTTATTACTTGAGTTCTTGATTTTATAATGGTATCTCTTTTCTCTTACAGTAATAATCATGAATCTTCAAGTCATTAACATAACTTCATTGTTTTTTCCTATAATATAAGGAAAAAAATTGAAGATATCAATACTGATATTATTAGAAATAAACTATCGGTAGAAGTTTAAAATTTCTTTTTAGCTCTCTTCCTTCTTAGAATACTTCCTGCCCAGAAGTACAGTAAAATTAGTGTCCAAATAACCCTTGAAATAAATCCTTTCTCCTGGTTACCAATTTGATATTTAATCAGATTTGTTTCAATGTGTGCTTCCCTCTTTCCCCTCCCCTTCTCTATGAAGCAACCATTTTTGTTAGTTTCTCAGTTATGTGTGTGTGTGTGTGTGTGTGTGTGTGTGTGTGTGTGTGTGTGTTGGAGGGTTCAAATTCAAACAAAAATATGTATAAATATTTCTTTTATAAAATATCTCTTTTATACAAAAGGTAACATACTATATACTCTGTTTTGCACATTTTTTTCTTAAAATATTCTGTAGATCTGTCCAAGCAGTACTAGTAATCATAAAGGTAGAACATATAGTAATATAATCTTTTCTTAAATTATAATGATATATCAAAGTGAAAGCTTTTAGTAATTTAATAGCTATTTTTAGATTGAAAATAATACTGAAATAAGCTCAATAGTGTGAATGCAGCAGAAATAAAGAAAAAAATCTTTAAAAGGGCACTGGATTTGGTGAATTTTAAATTGTATTTGGAAGATGAATGGGTCCAAGTAGGTGGGCATAGAGCTTTAGAGATGGTCTTGAGTGGCTTAAGGCAGATTAGCTTGGCTGTTTTCTGTGTCAGAAAATCATGAGATTAGAGAGGGTTGATAGAGCTCAAGAAATGAGAGCTAGTATGATGGACAAAATGCATAGAAATGTAGATTATTGGTGCTTTTTTAAGGTTAATCTGATACAAATTTTTGAGGGTAGAAGTTTGTTTTATGCAACTGTAATATATAACATAAGTTAATAGAATGGGCATGCTAAATATTGATTACCTTGTTTGGAAATGAGAATAAGTTTCTACCTCAGTTCAGCATTATCAAGTCATAAATACCACGGGCTAGAAGAGATCATAGTGGTCTTCTCAACCTAACTATTGTGTAGAATAGGAAAGGTTGAGTTGTCCAATTTATACAACTGTTTAGAGGCATAGCCAGTTCTTAAATCTGACTTTGTAACTCTTAATTGTATCTACTTTTCTCTATACCGTAGTACCTTTTACAACCATGAAAAATGAGAAGTTGTATGCTGTTTTTTGTTTTGTTTTTATTTTGAGTTTTGTCCTGATACTTTAGGACTGTAAATATGGAAGTTACCTTTTACCTTAGGTGCATTCTAAATATACTGAGTAGAAGGATTTAAAAATTGTTTTGTCGTATAATTGTTTTGAGGATCTTTTTGGGGATCAGTGTATTTACCTGTATTTCTTAATTACACATGATGGCTTATAAGTAAATACATTTGACAATCTTTTATTAGCGTAGCTTGTAGTGGGGAAAGCTTCTTTTTATAATCAGCTAATGTTTTAAAACATGTACATGTAGTTTGCATTGTTGTGTATTTCAATCAGCTAATGTTTTAAAATGTGTACATGTAGTTTGCATTGTTGTGTATTTCAATCAGCTAATGTTTTAAAATGTGTATATGTAATTTGCATTGTTGCATATTTCCTTAACTTAAGTACTCAGATATTTATCCAAACATTATTGCCATGGGGTTTCCTGCAGAAAGACTTGAAGGCGTATACAGGAACAATATTGATGATGTAGTAAGGTAAGAACTCTTTAATTTTCTGTTTCAAATATTGATGTATATTCGTGTTGTATTTTCATTTAGAAAAGATTTCTAAACCACAGAAAAAGATGTACATTGTGATGTAAACTTTATTTTTATTATGTTGGTGACCTATAACTGCTTTTTTCTTGCTTCACGTACCTACTCAGCCTCAATGGGATAAAACTCATTTGATAAGAACTGACCTTTTACATAATCAGGTGTATGTGATATGATTTCATGGACTCCATAAAATGCCCCTCACCAGTTTAATATCTGGATTCCATTACACTATGATTTTTGTCTTTTATTTCACAATTGGGTATTATTCTTAAAATCCTGAGTGGATTTATTCACTTAAATTTATTTATGCTAAGGTGTAGGTACCTGGTACCATGTAATTTTACATAGAGCAGTTTATAGTGGGGCATAAGTGTACCAAGGACCTGAAGAAGTATTTGGTACAGGGGATCTAGAAAGGAGTTGCTGGGCATACCAAAGCCTAAGTGTTTGCTTTACAATTTTGCATAATTTTCTAAGTGTAATTATCATTCATTTCTGAACAGTAGTTCTCAAGGCTCATTTAAATAATTTTAAATACATTTATGACCTAAGAGTACGTAATATATTTTATGAGAGAAGGAATTTTTGTCTGCTGTGTAAATAGTCAATATGTTTTCTAATTTCAGAGCAAAAAATATGTGTATAAATAAATTAACTGTAAAATGTCAGTAGGAACTTCAATTGGCTTTTAAAAGTTAAAATTTTGGATTATTCCCTGTACTCTCAGAAGTATCTTTTTTGGAGACTTTCAATTTAAATATTTGGTGGTTATGAGAATTAAATGTTATAATGCGCAGGAAAACACTTTGTAAAGCTTTTTGCAGATGTAGAATCCTTTTTAAATAGTTGTCTTAGTATATAAGAGTATCTGTACTCTCACATGAGCTAGGCATAGTTGTTTTACTAAGTGGTTAATTTTTAGTAATTTGCTTTGAGCCAGAGTATATTTACATTTTTGCAGTATTGAGTTGTATCCAATTGGATTTTTGTAATGTTGTGTTCAGAATTAAATTTCAGTATCTACAAAAAACTCCCAGAGTTCTTTGTAGTTTCTGTTACGGTTATAGATGGTACATGAGGCTGTCAGAGGAACTATTTAAGAACTTGAAAATAGGAAATGAATTTGCCTTCTCATAGTTGGGCAGGACACGATGGAAGAATGTGTAATATCGCAGATCCATGGGAGCAACAGCTTGATATGGCTTAGTCAGTGATAATACCCATCTACAGAAAATGCAGTGAATGATAGAAAAAAGAATAAGAGAGGTAAAGTTTGACTCAAGAGATGGAGAATCTGGGAAATGAGCAGTGCAGTCATCAAACATGTGTTTGCTGCTGTGGTGCAGGAGCGTTTATCAGGCCTCTTTATGGCCTAGATGAAACATCTCTGAAGTCCGTCTACTTCACATTACTATAATTCTGTATTCAACCAAGTCAGGTTAATACTTATACGGAAAAGGAGTATGAGTACTCCGAGCATAGGATGCATTTTCTGATCACGGTAAGGATATCCTTGTGATAAATTATCCTAATTTTTACATTGTCCTCTTCTGAATGTGAATTAGTCTCTTTTGACTGAATTTACTGAGGCTGACTGATCATGTTTCAGATTACTGATAAAGTCCAGTTTCTGGTTCTATACGTATGACTATCAGATCTTAGGTTGTAATAACGTCATCAAGCAACTACTGTGCTGGGAAGTATTTTGATCTGTCATCTTCTGACTTCATAACCTCTGCTTTTATGCCTCTGAATTAAGATTCACACATTTAGCTTGTAATCAGGAACAAAGGTTGAAATTTATTCTATCTTCTTTAAAGTTTATTTTATCTAGCTTTTGACTTTTTCAAATGTCACTCTTGAAAAAGAGTTTTATGTGTATGGATTGTTATTTAGCCAGCGGTTACTTTAGCCAACTGATCTTGTCACCCCAGTGATAATGGAAATAGCACATAAAAATGAAAAATTATCAACTGAACATAATAGCTATGCTGTGCTTGTTTTTTTTTAAATTTATTTTATTATTGTATTTTATTTATTTATTGTTTCTGGCTGCGTGCGGTCTCCGTTGCTGCGCGCGGGGCTTTCTCTAGTTGCGGCGAGCGGGGGCTTCTCATTGCGGTGGCTTCTCTTGTTGTGGAGCACGGGCTCTAGGTGTGCATGCTTCAGTAGTTGTGGCACACGGGCTTAGTTGCTCTGCGGCATGTGGGATCTTCCTGGACCAGGGCTTGAACCCGTGTCCCCTGCATTGGCAGGTGGATTCTTAACCACTGAGCCACCAGGGAAGCCCACTGTGCTTGTTTCGTTTTGGTTTGTTTGTTTTGGATTGGTGGATAAATGGCCAGTAAGGCTTTGTTGGCCTCAGTTACCCGCCCCACTTAGTTTATGAGAAAGGATGAACAGTGACCAGGAAGGAAGATGTAGTTTTTCCTATGAAGTAAAATGAAAATAAATAATTCCTAAGTAGATTGCATGTTAGGATTAACCTCTCCATGGAAATGACTGTCTCTAGTACCTAAATAATTGATTTTCTTGAATGGCTTACACTATATTGGAGACACTAGTACTAATCAGTAATGATTCCTTTTTGGTTCAAAGATGATAACATCTCAGTGAAAAATGTATTTTCTTATATCTTTTCTGTTAACAAAAAGAAAACATTGGGATTTAGACATTGGGATGTCTAAAGAATACTTAAAATTACCTTTTCTTCTCTAATTCCTTATTTTCCCTATGATTTTCCCCCCAAGCAGGAAATATTGTACAGAATTCAGACTTGGTTGTTGCTGTACGTCATTGCTTTGAGTAAAATAAAATCAAATTACAAATATCTTCATGCTTAAATTATTTAACTGTTTAGGGATATGGTTTATTATAGCAATGTGAGATTTTATACTTGAGGTACTCAAAGTAATACTTCTGTGACAGATTTTTAACTTCTCCTTTCGAAGTTACCTCCTGGGATCAGGAATTTAATGTAAAAAATAAAAAGAGGTGAAAAAGAGAACCAAGTTGACATTTTTTACTATCTTAACTGCAAATGTTTTCTTTAATAAGCGATCAGAATTGACAGGACAGGACAGGGTCATTTCATAGAAGGGAAGTTGAAGAACTAGCTCTTCCCAGATTTTTTTTTCTTCTTAATACTGCCTTCTCTCCCTGTTTTTTCTTGCCACTAAATTCTTGCTGTGACCAGCTGGTAATATGAAACAATGTTTTATTCAGATGATTGATTATTCTTTGATATGTATATTAATCTTGTGTGTGTGTGTATTAATCTTATCCCTCAGGCTAATATTGAAGTTATCTAATTTACATGTTATCTGGTATAAATCTAGGCAGTCTTTAACAAATTGATGCTTCATATGTTTAACAGACATAGCTTGAGAACTGTTCGGTACCTAATAAATCAGGAAAGTTTAGGTTTAATAGAGGTGAACTGGCTTTCTTACTGCAGAACCTTTAATGTGCTATTACTCATTGTAAATCTCCAAAGAATGAAATTTTAATATGTTGCTTTCCTTTTTTTTTTTCTTTTCTTTCCATTTCTCTTCCTCTCCCTCCTTTCCCCCTTCTATCTCTCTTTTCTTTTGTAGTATAGTAAATAGCATCTCTCTAGTGCTAATAGTGTTCCATGGAGCACAATTTGGGAAATGTTGAAAATGAAAAAAGATGTATATAACAATATTTTCCTCTAGTTTGTCAGTAGGAAATAATTTACTTCCTCCTCTTTTATTGGAAAGATTTTAGATGTGGGAAGATTTCTGTATTTATTATGAGGAAATGCTTAGAGCTCAGTCTCCTGATATTTAGTGATTTTTGAAAAAAGCCTTTATTCATTGTCTTGTATACTATCAGCTTTTTTACCCATATATAAGCAGCTGTATTATAGATTCAAAAGTCCATCTTCCCCTTTCCTGTTTTATACATTTTCTTCCCGAAGAAAAATTTCAGATATTCTTTTCTTGGGCTTCTCTGGTGGCGCAGTGGTTGAGAGTCCGCCTGCCGATGCAGGGGACACGGGTTCGTGCCCCCGTCCGGGAAGATCCCACATGCCGCGGAGCGGCTGGGCGCGTGAGCCATGGCCACTGAGCCTGCTCGTCCGGAGCCTGTGCTCCGCAACGGGAGAGGCCACAACAGTGAGAGGCCCGCGTACCACCAAACAAACAAACAAAACTTCTCTTGATCACATGCTGATCTCTCAATCAACCTTAATTTTATGTTGATTTTCAATAAAAAAGGTGTTTGTCATCTCAACATTACCATTATTGGTTATTCAGTGAAAAAGAGTTGAAAAGAGATTATTTAGAGGAAAGCTTCAAAATAATTTAGAGGAAAGGATATCAGTTCCCTCTCCCTTTCCAACAGCTTTCGACTAATTCCCTCATATTGCCTGTTTCCTGCTTCCTTTTTTTTATTGAGGTGTAAATCCCATAACATAAAATTAACCACTTTAAAGTATACAATTCACTTACATTTAGTACCCTCACAATGTTTTGTAACCACCACCTCTGTCAAGTTCCAAAACATTTTTTATCACCCCAGAAGAAAACCCTGTCCCCATTTGCTGCCTCCCATTTCTTTTGTTAGTCTTTTTTTTTTTTTTTTTTGCCATTCGCGGGTCTCTCACTGTTGTGGCCCCTCCCGCTGCGGAGCACAGGCTCCGGACGCGCAGGCTCAGCGGCCATGGTTCACGGGCCCAGCCACTCCGCGGCATGTGGGATCTTTCCGGACCAGGGCACGAACCTGTGTCCCCTGCATCGGCAGGCGGACTCTCAACCACTGCGCTACCAGGGAAGCCCTGTTAGTCTTATTCTTTACAAATAGTGAAGCCATGAAGGATTTGACAATGATTAAATTATCTGCACCAATTCAATTTTTGATATTTTAATAATAGGTAACATTTACATTTATTATATACATGTGTTACTGTTGTA